TTACCAAAAAAATTAATATAAAATAATAATAATAAAAAAAGACCAGACTTACTAGTCTCACAGAGACAGGAGAAACCCCAAGAGTATGGCCCCCCCGACACCCTTTTAACTCAGTACTGAGTCACTCCTGAGGTTCACCCTTCAGCCAAAGATTAGACAGGCCCATAAAACAAACAATACATGCAGTTCAACCACGTATAGGAGACTAAATAGGCACACCAGCCCAGGGGCAAGGATGAGAAGGCGGAAGGGGACAGGAAAGCAGGACCAATGGAAATAGGGAAACCAAGGTTGAGAAGAGGAGAGTATTGACACATCGCAGGGCTGGCAACCAATGTCACAAAACAATACATGTATTAGTTGTTTAATGAGAAACCGATTTGTTCTGTAAACCTTCATCTAAAGCACAATAAATAAATTACAGCCTAGAAGACACCACGGGGCAGTTCCACTCTGTCACATTGGGTCACTATGAGTCAAAATAGACTCAACACACCTAACAACAACAACACTGCAAACTAGTGGCCAGTACGCTGTATCCAGCCTGAAAAAGGATTGTGTTTGGCTACACATCATTCTTTACTCTGAGTTTAAGGACAAAGGAAATCTCAGAGGCCAGAGATGCTGTGGCGGCAAAAGGGCTCCACTCTGGCCAGGAAACTGCAGTGATCCTTCCAAAGCGCCCGTGCCTGGATCTGCTGCTGATAGGCTGGCAGAAAAGAGAAGGGGGAGTCTACAGGGACACCTCCTCCTCCTGCTTATGTCCCCCCAACCAAACTCCTTCATCCCCTTGAAGACCCCCCAAGTGCTCAGTGGACTGTTTAACGTGGGACAATTGCGCAATCAATTCCTGTTACAGTGAACATGAGCAATACATACCCAGTCTGGCATTTCTCAAATTTTGCGGAGCTGAGTTTCTTCTTTGAAGGCTCATGCCTTTTTTTTCCTGCAGGAACTGAAAGGACAAATACTTCACTTGTATTCTGAAAATTGGTACCATCAAGCAACTGGCAGAGGGCAAACCCAGGAGCCCCCACAACCAAGCCCAGACAGTGGCATCTATAAACAAAAATTGTCTGTCTAAAGACTCCAGACCACTTCATTAGTCATTTTGAACAATCTTACCTATGTAAATCTTCTAGCTGCCGCAGGGTAAGCTAGGTGGAGTCTGTCATATGTACTGAGGGCTGTGCTGATGTTACATACGTATGCCACTAGAGGCTGGATTTTGTGGGCAACTGAGGCATCTGCTATAAGCAGTGGTGTGGCACAGCTCGCTCACTTGCTATGAGAAGAGTGGTTGGTGTCCCAGGCAGTACCTTCATTCAGTGCTCAAGCCAGATTTTTCTACCTTCGTCTATGACCCATACTGCCGGGTGTTCTAGCCAGAGACTTATGGCTCATGTCATTCATTCATTTATATATATAAAAAAAAAACTATTAAACATTATGTGCCAAGCACCAGGCTAAACCCTGGGAGAAAAAGTCCTCCCTGCAAGAGGCTCACAGTCAATTGGGGGAGGCAGATTCAGAGACATATTACAACACAGTGTGATTAGTGCTTTTGTAGAGATGAGTTCTAAGAGCTTTGGGAACCTAGGAGGGAGGAGCAATTCTGACTTAGAGCTTCACAGAGGAAGTGACAATTGGGCTGGGTCTTAAGAAAAATGGGATCTCATTAGGACAAAAAATGCAGTTAGAAAGCACTCCAGGCAGATGGAAACAGCAAGTACCAAGACATGGAGAAAATGAGAAAGTGTGATATGTTCAGAGAGCAAGAAAAAAATGGGTGGAAAGGTTGACTGGTTTCTTCATACTTTTGAAGATCCTGCCAACAGCTCAATTAACCCTTCCAAGCTGGTGGGATCATATCTTCCCCTTTAGTGTTCAATTCTAAAATAGAGAAGGAAAATTAATTTATCATGAAGCTCAAGTCAAGAGGACCAGCAGGTACACTGGTGCCGTGGTCTCATTTGTAAATACAAAAAAAAGTTTCTTTAGTTTTAGAGAACAATTTCTGAATCAAGTCAAATAAAAATTATCACCTCACTTTTAATTCTCCATACCAAGCCAAGGAAAACTGGCCCCATCAAAACTCATCTGAGTCAACCTTCCCTCAGAGCCATCTGCAAAGCTAATGTTGCACCTCCTTCCTACTACAGTAAAATCTGCGAAAGCTGCAACCTGTGTAAAGCGGAAACCTGTCAGAGAAGGAAAACAAGCGATAGAAAAGTGGTAAGACTACATCCTGTCAAAGGCAGAAAACTTGCAAGACATGGAAAAACAAGGCAGTCCCGTTGAGTTCCAGCTCTCACAGGTTTCACTGTATATGATAGTATTAAAAAAAAAAATCCCAAACCTTCCATTAGTGTATACTTGCCAAGTGCTTCAGATTAGATACCTTCCTTCCTCTGTAGCCAGGCCAGTAACTTCACTTCCACTCATATGCTCATTCTAGTTTCAGGTCTTTGCTCAGGTTGTCTGTCTCACCATGAAGGCCCTCTTGCATCAATCCCATACAACCAAAAGGATTTTGGACCCATCCCTCATTTCAGCTAGGATACACCTTTGCTAACCACCCCAGTGCTCATTAACCTGTACATTCTCTGGATCTCCGACTGCAGTTAATCAGCACTCAACTGTTATTTCATATATATTATTTCTGTTTTCCAAATTAGTCTGAAAATTCTTTGAATACAAGGACTACGGATTTGCATTATGTTCTGCTGTGTGTGGTGAATTGATTCTTAAGTATTTGCTGATTAGCTTAGCCCTATGCAACTCTTTGATCTAGTATAGAGACTGAGTTCCTCTGCCATTCCCTGAAAGATCCTTTTCACTGGGATGGCTGCCTACCTTGGCAACTAGGAAGTTGTTGAAATGACTTAGGGTTGGTAGACAGGATAGGCACACCTGACAAGACACACATCTCTTGCAGAAAGGGCATAGCAGGCAGGACATGCATACCTGGCACACATGGCTGGCTAGGGATATTTGGTAGGATAGGCATACCTGGCTTACCAGGTGTCACAGAGATATTTTTGGTTTTATCTTTCTTTTTCTTTGGTTGTTCTACCACAGGTTCTGGCTCTTCATCAGTTGACAATTTTCCATCCGCAATCTCTAGTGTAGGCTCAGCAGCATTTGACGGTTGGCAGAGATTTTCACCAAGATTCTGCTCACCAGCATCATTGGATGAATTGTGTTGGGAGGCAGCAAATTCACCCAGCTCTCTTTCACTTGAGGAGCTTTGGCCCTCATCACATAAATTCCCTTCTTTTAGCACTGGGACCTCCAAATCATTGCTATCATCATCATCAATAAGAGGAAATGGAAGCTTCCTGGTGGTGAGCTGTTCGTCAGTATCAGATGACTTTTCCAGAATCTCATCTGAAATTCAAGAGACACAATCTCTCTCTCTCTCACATATACACTCATACATATATATATATGTATATATACTCCCTTCCCCCATCCCCTTATTCATTAAACTTCAGCAGAGATTACTGAGCACAAGTTAAATAAGTTGGGAACTATGACATTATGAATTTTTAGAACCACTGTTATTTTAGATTTGTCCCTTCTGTTTCTTTTTTATTTTACTGGGAACAATAACATGTAAAATAGCCATCAAAGTCTAATGGCAATTTTCAAATCACATTCTCTAAGTAGCATGATGTAGCTGCTCAGTGGTTCCCAAACACAAGTCTGCAGACCTGTATATTTTCACTGGTCCACAGCAAAAGAAGAGAAGAAATTAAAACAATAAAGTGATTTTTTTCCATCAAGTTAAATTTCTACAATTTAAAAGACTGCCCTATATTTTGAGATTATGTCCTTGCTAAACTTTTGGTGCTCTTTATGAAATTATGGTCATAGTAAGTAGTAGCTGGAAATTTTTTATTTCCTTCATTAAAAAAAAAAAAAGAGAAATTGGCAACTCTACATTGATCATTAAAATTTAATTTCTTAACTAGTCCATAAATCCAAAGTTCTCAAAACCACTGAGTTAAGTCCTGACACTGGCACTCTCTAAGAGGCCTTGGGAACATTAGGAACACAACTGCCCTTCACTGAGGGGTTCTTTGTCTGGAAAATAAGTGGGTGTCAAACAGCAGATGTTCTCTGAAGTCTGTGCAGAGCTCAATTTCTAGGTTGCTAAATATAAAAGTATAAAGCATGGCATGGGCAAGATGTGAAGATATATTTGTGGTACAAATACTCTTTATCCCAAAAATGCAGATTTGGGAGAAATTTTTTTGAGAGTTTCATCTGTTATTTGCGCTAATTATCAAAAAACTTCAAATATTCAATAGGTAAAGAGAAAGGAGTGGGTGCCCCTATGGTAAAAAATCATCCTTCCTAGAAAAAAGATTTCGTACCTGCAGTTGAAATTTTTTTTAAAGTAGTGACATACGTTTAAAATATATTTTAAAAATTGACAAAGATCAAAAGTGAGGTTGGAAGTATGTTTTAAAGCTCATCAGACCTTCTTTTTTTTCTGTAAAATTGTCTAAATTCATTACATAACAACAAAAGAAATGGCATGTGGAAAAGAGTAAAGAAATCTACAAAGGCAGTCGTCATCCCCGCACCCCCAATATTATTGGGATGGATGGCCACAGCTACAGTCCCAGGGTCAGAAAGGTAAGAGAAGCCTGGTTGAAAGTTCCTCCTCAAAAGAACATGCTCTGCAGGGGCAACAGCAAGACCAGCGAGTTCCTACAACACTGTGAGGGGCACCTCAAGGCAGCCCCAATAAAGCCCTTGAACACTTAAAAACAAAACAACATGCTCTGATTCAAGGAGTTAACAACTTGTGGCCTATGGTAGAGAACTGGTTTCTGGCTCTGTCACTCATGCCCTGCCCTGGAGCTACCTCCCTTCAGGTTCCCCTTGCATTACAGTAACTTATCACACCCCCTACTCTGTACCTGGGCCTCTGCCCTGCTCAGATACATCCACCCAGAGCTAAAGAGATAGAGAGGAAAAAGAAATTAGAGGAGCAGGTGATGAAACTATGGGAGACTAGGGTTCCAAGCCACCTCTCCTGTCCCTGTTCTGATCTCAGGTTGGCTAGGAAACTCTGACCGAAGGTAGCTCTTGGGTACTTAGCAAGGAAATGGCCTGTGCTATCAGGACCTCCCATTTTCAGTTAGGTTCAGTTCAGCAAGCATTATCTAGGTGCCTATGTATCATGCCCTATACCTGGTACTGAGCAAATAAAGATAAATAAAATACCATCCCTAATGCTTAAGAAGCTCCTAGTTTTCATGTGTTTCATGCCAACTGAGTAGGTTCTGAACTGTGACTAAAGCTCTGGACTTCCCAAAAGGTTAAAAAAAAGCCTCCATATGTAAACAGACAAGGACCTGCTGTGGGAAACAAGCTCTAAGAAAACCAAAAATCTCTAGAAAATGTAAAGAGTATAGAAAGGCAAAGACAAACAGCTAGATGGAAAAAGCAAGGATTTCCCCTGACAAGTCACTGCCTGCTGACCCATGACTATTACCCGCCCGAGCTTTTCCACCAAGCTGGAAAGAAAAAGAAGTCCATGCTCATCACTCCTCTTTCCTCCTCTTTGCCATTCCCACACCTAGAGAGGGAGAAAAGGGTGGAAGAGGGAGTAGCAGAACAGCCTTCGTACTTCTAAGCCTCAGTTCTTGACTGTCCCCCCTCTGCTGCCTTGATATTGTTCTAGACAGGTAAGAAATCTACTGAGGGGGATGCCTGAGGCATAAGGCAGCAAGAACAGTTACAGCTGTGTTAGGAAATTTACCAGGGGGTGTGGTGAGCCTAGCCATATCCATCTTTGAGCACATGAAGAAAGAAATGGTAACACTCACTACTAAGTGACCCAGAATATAAAGTTTGACTCTTAGGCTAAAAGTCCTGGGTGTAATGAGGCTTCAGAGCCCAACTACTTCTCTAAGAGTTGGTAGTGTACTTACCTTCACTACTTGTTTCGTACATCTTAGCTTTCTTTTCCTCACAGACATATTCATCATCCAGTCCTGAGGCAGTCGCCACACAGCTGAGTAATGAGACAGTGAAAAACAAGAAATATGGATGCAACATTCTTCTTTTCATGGCATTTTCTACCTTTCCAACAATGAACATGATCACTTTTCTAAACATTGTTTGTTTCCTGCAGTCACTCTGTTCCCTTCTTTGGAACTACTGAATCTTCCATTATTTCTGATTTTTCCATCTTTTCCAATTTTCTACTAAATCTTTCCATGGCATCTTTTCATCCTTTGCACCCTTTCAGAAGAAGGTGTCTGTCAAGTACTGAGAGTGAGATGGGCCCTGTCAGAGAGTGTATATATTCCAGTACTTTAGAGGAAATGGGAAATAGATGAGGGAAATGTTTAGTTCATTGTCATTTTTCTGTATCAACTTTGAGATCCACTTGTCTGAGAAGAAAGGTAGAGGGCCACAGATGGACAGAAACTGTCTTAGAGCAGGGGGGTTTCTCCTCAGCACCACTCGTTGCAACTCGAAGCTAGCACCACACTCTCTAACTGACAGACTGCTCTGGCAGGAGACAACCTGAGCAGTGCCCCTGTGCCACCTGGGTGGTGGTGAGCTCTCCTGTGGGATCCTCATTCTTGGCCAGCCACGGTATTGGGGTCAGAGGTTCCAGCAGGGTTGGAATTCATCACCTTTCTGCATTTTCCAAACAGTCGCTATGAGTCGGAATCGACTCAATGGCAACGGGTTTGGGTTTTTTTTGGTATGAGAAGTAATGATGCACTTTTATCATAAGAGAAAAAAAGTACATTTACAAGGGCAATATTGTAGAGCCCAGCTTTCAACAATGGATTATCTAATAACAAAAGCACAAACAGTAAAAAATAAATAAATAAATGGGTTCTCATAAAAATTAAAAACTTTTGCTCATCAAAAGACTTTACCAAAAAAAGGAAAAGACAAGCTACCAACTGGGAGAATATCTTCGGAAATCATATATTCAATAAGAATCTAATAACTAAAATATATATAAAACTTCGACAACAACAAAAAGACAACCCAAGCATAAAATGAACAAAGGACTTGAATCTACATTTCACCAAAGAGGACATTCAAACACATGAAAATATACTCAATGTCATTAGCCATCAAAGAGATGTAAATCAAAACCACAAAGAGATATCATTTCATTCCCACAAGGATGGCTAAGATTAAAAAACAAAAACAAAAAACAGAGTGGCCATCTAAGATACTCCACTGGTCTCACCCCTTCGGGAGCAAGGGAGAATGAAGGAAACTAAAGACAGAAGGGAAAGATTAGCCCAAAAGACTAATGGACCACAAGTATCACAGCCTCCACCAGACTGAGTCCAGCACAACTAAATGGTGCCTGGCTACCACCACTGACTGCTCTAACAGGGATCACAATAGAGGGTCCCAGACAGACTTGGAGAAAAATATAGAGCAAAATTCAAATTCACAAATAAGACCAGACTTACTGGTCTCCTGACAGAGACAGGAGAAACCTCGAGAGTATGGCCCCCGGACACATTTTTAGCTCCGTAATGAAGTCATTCCTGAAGTTCACCCTTTAACCAAATATTCGACAGGCCCACAAGCCCACAAAACAAAATGAGACCAAAGGGGCACACCAGCCCAGGGGCAAGGACTAGAAGGTAGGAGGGGACAGGAAAGCTGGTAATAGGGAACCCAAGGTCAAGAAGGGAGAGTGTTGACATGTTGTGGGATTGTTAATCAATGTCATAAAACAATACGTGCACTGTTTAATGAGAAACTAGCTTGTTTTGTAAACCTTCATCTAAAGGACAATTAAAAAAAAAAAACAGAAAATAACAAATGTTGGAGACAATGTGGGGAAACTGGAACCATTATCTATTGCTGCTGGGAATGCAAAATGGTACAGCCTTTGTGGAAAACGGTTTAGCGTTTCCTAAAAAAACTAAAAATAGAACTACCATATAACCCAGCAATTCCATTCCTAGGTATATACCCAAAAGACTTGAAAGCAGAGACTCAGATACTTGTACACCAATGTTCACTGCAGCACTATTCACAATAGCCAAAAGGTGGAAACAACCTAAATGCCCATCAGTGGATGAATGGATAAACAAAATGTGGTACATACATACAATGGAATACTACTCAGTCAGTAGGAGAAATGAAGTCTTGATATATGCTATAATATGGATAGAGATGGAAGACACGCTGAGTGAAATAAGCCAATCACAAAAGGACAAATATTGTATGACCTCACTTATATAAAAAGACAAGAAAAAGCAAATGTATAGAGATCAAAGTTTATTAGTGGGTACCAGGGGTAGAGGGGGGAGGGAAAAGGGGAGTTAATGGTGATGGAAAACTCGCATTGATTAAGGGTAGGGTTGCACAGCCAGTTATTGCAATTGCTGTCAAGAAGTCGTACACCTGTAAAAACTTGAAATGGCAAAAGTTGTGTAATAGATATATTTACAACAATGACAAAAAAAAGAAAAAAACTAGCTGCTGAGGCTGCTTATGTACAACCAAACACCTCATGCGATTTGGTTCCTTGGTTTGAAGGTTGGGAGCCATGGTTTCATGAGACATCCCAGTTAATTGGCCTAGTAATGTGTTCAGTGCTTCTTTTCTATCTCCTATTTTGTTACATAGTGCCTAGAGTCTTAAAAGTTTGCAAGCAGCTATCCAAGGCACAACAACTGCTCTCTATTCACCTGGAGCAGCACAGGAAGAAGTAGAGTCAGGAACAGGAGGAGGAAATGGAATGTGGGCCAGTTGCTCCCATGAACAACTTCCACCTTTGCCATGAGACCAGAAGAACTGGATGGTGCTTGGCTACCATTACCGAACATTTTGATCAAGAATTCTATAGAGGAATCTTGATCAAAAGGGGGGAAATGCAGAATGGCATTTCAAATTCTCATGGACTCCAGACTTTCTGGAGCCATGAAAGCTGGATGAACCCCTGAAACTATTGCCCTGAGATAATCTTTAAACCTCAAACTAAAAATATCCCCTGAAGTCATCTTAAAACCAAACAATAGTTTAGCTTAACTAGTAATAAATGTCTACTTTGAGCATTATGCTCTTTTAAGAACTATTTATATGGGATCAAACCAACAACAGCATCTTGAAAGATTAGATAGGAACCTTAGGGGGCAGTCAGTTTATGTTAATGGGGGAAGAACAACGCAGAGAAGGAGGGTGAGAATGGTTGCACAATTCAAAGCATGGAATCAATGTCACTGAATTGTACATGTAGAAACTGTGGAATTGGTGTATGTTTTGCTGTGTATATTCTCAACAACAAAATAAATAAAATTTAAAAATACATCTACAATTTACATTTCTATAGTAACTCAAAGAGTCAATGTGAAAACCATAGTCATCTAGCACCATGTTTTGGATTTATTCCAGTGAATTTTTTAGCACTCCCTGTAGTTTGGCACCTGGGCAACACCCCTCAATCTAGCCCTGGCTAGAGCAGAGGGTTCCATTAAGAGGAATAGTAGTAGATAAGGCTGAAAAATAAGTTAGGGCCAGATGATCAAAGCAGTGCCTCAGAGATTAATCTGGAAGTGGTGTGCAGAGTGACTCAGAGGAAGAAGAGATCAAGGTACGGAGCCCACTTAAAAAGCTATTCTACTAACACAAGAGTGAAACTGGTAAGGGCTTGAGCTAGTGAAGAATGGAAGTTAAGGGATGGTTCTCAGAGATATTTTGAAGAAACCGATAATGGGGTATGGGATAACAAATCTAACATTTTAAATCTGGTTGTAAGGTGAAACACCCAATATGATCCTGCTGAACACCATACATGTGATGTTTATTCTTAAGCCCTCTTTTCTGGAATACTGTTCCTTAAAAAAAAAAAGTCACTTCAATAATCTTCCTACTCACCTGACGTGTCTCTTCTTTCTCATTCTCATTCTGGCCACAACTAAATCATATAAAGAAGGCATTAGAAGTATCATAAAATATGGATATCCATGTCTTTAACTCCCTAAATTCAGAGTTCATAAATTAGAGCTGGTTAAAATTTAGGGTAGAATCTTATATTCCCCCATGGAAGAGACAGAGGAAATAAAACTAAGGACACCCAGAACCAAAAAGGTAAAGAAGTAAACTGGAAAAGGAGCACAAAGAACTTCCTCTGCTCCTAACAGTAGGGAAATAAACTTCATTTCACCAGTCTAGAGAGAGCCCTTAGAGGAGGCGAACCTCAGACTAGCTTATGCCAAATGTCCCAAATCCAGTCATCTCTACAACCATATGGTTAAATTACATCTTAAAATGTAATTTACTGGTTTGAGTAGACTCTACTTACAGGCCTCAAATTCTTCATTGCTGCTTGAGTCATGAGTAAGACTGCAACTGCAAAAATAGAAGATATTTTTTAAAAGGCAGACTACTAACATCATAAGCAACCAAATGTCAAAAATCTCAAATAAATGAAGAGAACAGTCAATCAGAGCTTCTGAAATTTAAAAAGGCTTTAAGGGCTTTAAAGCATTTATGAAATTAGGAGCACAACAGGGGAGGTAAAGAAAAATTAGAAGTAACATGCTACTCAGTCCTTACTGGTGAATCAAAGATAGGAGAAGAATGTTAGCTGAGCATTATCAGTGAGAAATCTGTTTTCTGCCAAGTGATTTATTTCTATTTAAAGATATGAAAGTGATTTCTGAGAGGGGCCACAGGGGAAAGGTAAAGAGATTGCCATTAAAATCCAAAGGGTATGTCTAGGCAAGGTCAGCTTTTAGGGCTTGACTACTTGAAGAAGGCCTAATTTGTCGGAATTGCTAACTAGGACAATGGACAAATACTGAAGTCCACTTCAAAGGGGAGCAAAAAAGGGTGATTCCAAAGCTGCAACTATCACCTGCAATAAACCTTGATGTTGGGGCCTCTTGCTTCTCTGTCTCACAATTTATCTGCGGCCTTAGCACTCATTCTCCACTGCCCTGTGGCAAGCTGCTTTGTTTGTTGTTATAGTTACCAGACAGCTGTGCGGCACTGCCTGATGTGAAGTCAAAGCATATTCCTGCTCAGGACCATCCCGCTCACCGGAGAGCAGCCCACTGGATATCCCATTGTCAGCCATCCATTACACAGATCCACAATCCAGCTCAGAGGAGTCAGGCTGCAATAAGCATCAATTCAATGCTAGGACACTGGCTACATTCTAGGACCTAATCATAGGTAATCTTGTCATTAGTTATTGTGATCTATAGCTCTCAGACAATACTACAGGTGATAAAGAAGGTAGACATAATAGCTATGAGGAAGTTCAGGTTTTACATATAAAAAGTTAGACTTGACCACTTCTTCAGGACTTCTAATTTGGCCTAGAGGTTGATACTGAATTGACTGCATATCTTTTCTTTCTTTCAAGATACATGCTGACTCACCCCCTTGATTAAATTCCCTATTCATTTATCAATCACTGTACACTGGACTTACTCAGTAGTAGTTTTTGTTGTTGTTTAATCAGGAAAGAAGACTCTTGCTGAGTATAAGGCTCCCCAGATACAGGCCAATACATGGCCCTAATCATCTTAAAATCTATTATCAGGAAGATTAGCATAACTTCAAGTGGCTCTACCTACCTCCTACCATAAAGATATAAGAAAATTAGCAATTTTATCTTGAAAACATCAATGTAATGGTTGTAGTCACTTAGCTATATAAAAGGCAAGATTTGTTTTTGTCTTTGCAATCTCTTTAGTGGATTACCTGTGATGCATCACATTCTGGTTTAAGGCTTATTCAGTAATAAAACTGTTTTCTTTCTCTTCTAAAAAACCTATTATACCTACTAAAAATTGAGTCATACTTTTTCTATTTTCTTACATACTTTTGTGTCACACACACATCCACTCACACACACATCTTCTGAAAGGTCAGGCAAAAGGAACAGGGGATCTGAAACATGACAAAAAAAGTAGCATGACACAGAGCCCCACCCTAATCCCTAAAGGCAAAATATCAAATTCTAGGTTGGAGAGTAACCAACAGAACAATGGCCCAAGGAAGGAAAAAATATATGGACAAAAAGGAGGCAAATTTTGTGAGGTATCTTTCCAAGTACAATTCACCATCAAGAGTTTAAAACCCAGAAAGTGCTTTAAGGCTCATGTTACTGTTATTAGAAGATATATGCACCTAGGAAGAGCCAGTTGGCTTAACCAGAGCTCTAACATGAAAGAACTAAGAAATAACATTAGAAGCCAAGATGCTGGAGTAGTCAGATGCTTCCGGTGTTTCCTCTTACAACAAAGACCCAAACAAACAAGTGAATCAATTATATATGAAAATCTAGAAGTCCTAAACATCAAAGACAAAATTGAGGAATTGCACTGAGTGGCAGGGGGAGGAAGAGATGATGCGGAAGCAGGGAGGAGTTGCCAGACCTGACTTGGCAGGAGCCAGAGCCCTTCAGGCCAGATCAGCTCCTGGTGCACAGTGAGGCAAGCAGTGGCGTTCAGAAGGCGTTTATCCACATGGGGAGAGACCCAGCGGCAGACAGTCTAGTCAGCCATCCAGAACCAGGGAGAAGCAGCCCTCAATCGGCGAAACATAAGTACTTGTGTTTGGCCAACCGAGCGGATCACAAACACTCCCCCTTTGGGAAAAATCTCTTTCCCATTAACCTCCCCGCTCCCCACTCTGCACTGGGTCCAGGCTGGCTTCAATGATTGCTGAGTCCCCTGGGCTGGAAGCAGGACCCATCACATGCCCTGAGCCATTCTCCTGGCCTTGGAGAGTGAACAAATTAACAAACGGGAAAAAATAATCTGCCAGCTCCCCTAAGCCATAAACTCAGGGTAGGCACAGCCCCTTTGCCTAGGCACAGGCATAAGGGGTCCACAGACTTTGAGTGTCTTTCCCCCTGCATAGACACGTGTGGGCCCATTTCAAGAGCATAGGCCCTCATTACCGCAGTACAACAGGATATATACCTAAAGTCTAACTTCAACTGTTTCAGCTGTGAAGTGGCAGGTCCCTGACATTTGACACTGCTCTGCCCACTGAGCACGGTCTTCATCTACCCACATCAGGGACCTGAGGACTTGTGGCTCCACCCACACCACCTAGCCACCTGCGACAGGGGCCCAAGAATAAGTGGTACCCCTGAGCCTTACAGCCAAAAGCATTGGGTGCTCATAGTCCAGCTGCAAAACCCATCCACCTATGCATGCTAGGGAACAGGAACACGCTTTCCTCCCAGACACTCAGGGGTAGCCGGCGGCCCCCTGCCTTGCTCAGCATGTGAGTCCCTGCTGAAGTTGGATGCCTGTGCCTACACCAATCACCCATGTTGGTCTAGGACTGTAGGTGAGAGCCTGCATGACACACTTGGTGGGCGACTACCGGGACACCTGAGCTGAATCAATACAGGAGGAGTGGGTAGACTCCTCGGATCACATACTTAATGGCAGGTCTGGCCACCTGGTGGCAGGATGTTGGCACTTCAGGGGCACCAATGATCGGGCTAGCTCACACAAGCAGCCCATTTGGGCATATCAAAACAAAACAAAACAAGAAGGACACAGTAAGCAAACATAAAATAAATATAATAACTTATTGATGGCTTGCAGACAACAGTCAATATTAAATCACATAAAGAGGCAGACGATGATGGCTTCAGCAAGCTCCCAAAATAAAGACTCAAGAAATTTTCTGTAGGAAGAAAATTTCTGGGGATTACCAGAGGCAGAATACAAAAGATTAATATACAGAACTCTTCAAGAGATCAGGAAGGAAATGAGGCAAAACACAGTCCAAGGAATAGAGGAACTTAAGATGATTAGAGAAGAGCATGATGACAAATTTAACAGGCTACAAGAAATCACAGAAAGATAGTAATCAGAAATTCAGAAGATAAACAATAAAATTTCAGAATTGGACAACTCAATAGAAAGTCATAGGAGCAGAATTGAGGCAATACAAGTCAGAATTAGTGAGACTGAAGATAAACCACTTGACACCAACTTATTTGAGGAAAAATCAGATAAGAGGATTTAAAAAAATGAAGAAACCCTAAGAATTATGTGGGATTATATCAAGAGGAATAACCTATGAGTGATTGGAGTACCAGAAGAAGGGGTGATAACAGAACATACAGAGAGAATTGTTGAAGATTTGTTGGCAGAAAACTTCCCTGATATCGTGAAAGATGAGAAGATATCTGTCCAAGATGCTCAATGAACCCCACATAAGGTAGATCCCAAAAGAAAGTCACCAAGACATAATCAAACTTAACAAAACCAAAGATAGAATTTTAAGAGCATCTAGGGATAAACGAAAAGTCATCTACAAAGGAGAGTCAATAAGAATAAGCTCAGACTACTCAACAGAAACCATGCAGGCAAGAAGGCAATGGGATGACATATATAAAGCTTTAAATGAAAAAAAATTGCTAGCCAAGAATTACAGATCCAGCAAAAATGTCACTCAAATATGATGGCGAAATTAGGGCATTTCCAGACAAACAGAAGTTTAGGGAATTTGCAAAAACCAAACCAAAATTACAAGAAATACTAAAGGGAGTCCTCTGGTTAGAAAATCAATAGTATCAGATAACAATCCAAGACTACAACAAAGGACAGAGCAACCAGATATCAACCCAGATAGGGAAGTCACGAATACAAATCAAAGCTAAAACACTGAAAATAGGGAAACAGAGATGTCAAAATGTAAAAGATGGCAATATTAAAACAAAAAATAGGGACTAAAAATGTAGACAAAGATTTTTTCATATGCAGAGGAAGTTAAGGCGATACCAAGAAATAAAAGATTGGTTTGAACTTAGAAAAATAAGAGTAAATATTAAGGTAACCACTAAGGAAACTAACAATCCTACACATCAAAATAAAAAAAACTAGAAAAATATAAAGACTCAGCAAATACAAAATAAACAACAATGAAAAAGATTAAAACAAAATACCTAAAGAAAAACAACTCAGCACAGAAAATCAAGTGGAACAAAGAAACTGTCAACAGCACACAAAAAAGACATCAAAACGACAGCACTAAACTCATACCTATCAATAATTACGCTGAATGTAAATGGACTAAATGCACCAATAAAGAGACAGAGAGTGGCAGATTGGATAAAAAAAAAACACGTTCCGACTATATGCTGCTTACAAGAGACACACCTTAAAGACACAAACAAACTAAAACTC